GGGGGGGGGGGGTGAGGACGTTGCACAGGCTATTCATTCACTATGTAAATTTGAAAGGGGAGACCCGGACCAGCCTCTTTCCTGTGGGGCCATGGCTCTTCCTGCCCCACTCCCCCCTCCTCTTGTAGAAACGCCACTAACTTGCTTAACCCCGACGGTGTGTGACCAACCGATTCTCTCTCTTGCATCCAGCTCAAGTTAGTTTTGAAGAGGGTCATGGATGTGGACACCTGGTTGAGCATATAGTATTAAAAGACTATCCAAGTATTAGACATAGCTTGGCTAATAATTTATGTTAGGTAGGGCATCATCTCATACTGATATTAACTCTATTGTAACTACGCCATGCACCTACAGTCGTTTCTCTTTCTCTTGTTTTGGCTAGTAAGGTATTATTGAGATTTGTTGGTTTTTTAGGGGTCATAAGGCGTGGGATTGTACCGAAATGGGTAGCATGCTTTACATGTATATATGTAAATATATTGTAGATCAATATAGGCCCTCTTGGTTGTGACTTCACTATCAATTTCTATATTCGCCCAAGTATAGGTTCTGAGTTAACTATTGCATTAGGTCGACACAGGTTTCCAGGGGTCCAAGATTCATCGTTAGGTTTTCCTGTCTGGCAAGATTAACATGTCAGTTCAAATTCATTGTATATATTATCTATATGTTCTTTTGTTTTGTATATTATCTGTACTCTATAAGATGTAGATGTGACTGTTATAGTATTTTTTTATTGTGTAACTATGTTTTGTGTATGAAAAGCATTTTAAACAGAGCGTAGTCATGTTATAATTGATGAGTCTATACTGAATTAAAGATGACACAAACTTTAAGTTATTATGGAACAGTTGACAAGAGGTCTGCTTATCTTTATTATAAGACTCCCATTGTTCAATCCAATACCGCATCTTTTCATCTGTAGGGTACATGAAAAGTAATAGCATAATGTAGATCAGATAGAAGTCTCAACTGGACACAGAAGATGGTTTACGATCTGTTAAATACAAATGTCCTTAAGTAACAAACCATCTGGGTGCATGTGATAAGTATACCTATATAAGAACATAGATAATGGTGAGATTGAATCTTTTATTGATTAGCATTGGATCACGTTAAGCTGTAACTAAGATCTTGGGTATATTCTTGATTCAGTCTAGACTCCAGAGTGTTTGAAGAAAATAAAGTGTTGTATGTTTTAATCTGAGGTGTAAACTTTTTTTACCAACTATTCTAAGACTATCAGAACTATTTTGAGTTAACTAAACTTATTGTTGCGGCCAAAAGCATATCATGTTGTTAATCTGTTTTATCCCAGGTTGCTGGATATGTTTTGTTTTTGTTTTCTTTATGTTTTCTCATATTTGTTTACCTTTGTATTTATTGGCATATACAGTTGTCCATAATAAGTTTATTTTCCCTTAAATAGTGGTCCATACTGTAAATAATTTTCATAAGGTCAAGGACAAACGCCATTTTACAAACGAATGAATAACGAACGACTAACGCCAATTGTTTTGCTTTTGTAACGTCCGTGGGTTTTGTCAACAACACAAAACCTGCGGTTTTGTAACATTTATTGTATACGAAGCCGTTGAGTATTAAATTATTGTCTGATGACTCCCGTGGTTATGGATTTCGAACGATTTAACATTTGTATCGAGGAACGCTTTCATATGATGCCATACTTTTCAAGCCAACCATGCCCACGTATTTTTCCTTCCACACCATGGTTGTGGCCGTCATACTTATCTTAAAACATATTAAAATTTTTTTTAAAAAAACGTTTTGCTTTGCTCAGACAATTCCAAATGGACAGAGTCTACTAAATCATTTATGCAAATTATAAAATGTAGTCCGTGCTATTTTTAGCCATCCTCTTTCTCTCTCCCTTTGGATTTTTTTTTGCATGCCTAATTTTGACTTATTTTGGTTCTGATTTGGAATTTGAAGTCTGAAAATGCATTTTCTTTCAGATTTTGTGTGATGAAGATATATTTTAATGCGGTAGGATAATTCTATAAATAGTCGCTTTGTGTGCAGTGACAGTCAAGCGGATGTTGATAAAATGTAGTGGTCTACTTTCTGTTTGACTAGATCGAGATTTTCATGGCAAAGATTGACTTTCTGTTTAGAAATTAGGTATTGGCCATGCTTTCATGAGGCATATTGCAAAGTTTTCAAGGAAATTTATGGAAAAAGTTATAGGAGGTTGAATTTCGTGATATTACATGGAAACAGATGGCAATTGAATTACTGGTCCGAGTCCAAATGTAAAGATTTCTTAAAAGCCTAAATCATGCACGGGCTCAGTTTATTGTATTCACTTAATGCGCCAACCTGTAAAAAGATAGCTTCCAATGCTCCTACTAAGTTACATCAAAATCATTGCCACAAACAAATTTTGACGCGATTTTACTAAGTCTAGGGCAATAACTCGTTTATCGAAAGGTCGTCAAATTCAAAGTTGACCGAGACTTATCAAAATCAGATGAAAACTGTAGTCTCTATCGTGCCCACGACAAATGTTGACAGAGGGACCGACGGGCAGAGGCGACGGCAATATACGACCACATTTTCATGTGGACGTATAAAAACGGGTGATGGCCTACTGCCTATGAGATAAAAGCAAGCGACTTGGAACCAGATAGCAGTAGTTAATTTCAGTTTTACATTAACACAAACACAGCCAATATTAATTTAGAAAGTAAAGGGCGATTATTCGCTGTACAGTTACAAACTTACACCTCAACATCCAAAATGAAAAAAGGCGTTCAATTTTCTATAACATTTATGCTGTGCAAAAGTTATAACGAAATGAATTTAAACATGAATGATTTTGTTGAGGCTATTGCCTGTATTTTTGTACATTGAAATAACTTACCTAAAAATGTAACCCTGAAAACATTGAATGGGTCCATCTTGGCAACAATTCTTCACCTGAATTAATTTAAAAATGCACCCGACTTGTTCAAACGTTACATCTAATGCGCAGTAAATAAATACGGTCTAATACACCTGAGTATTACCCTAACTGTCTTTCTAAATGAAATTTGTAGAATAGTGAGTCATCGCGTTTCCTAGAAATCATAGATTATTAATATTTCCAGTGATGAATAACAAAAGATGGCTTTATATGGCCTGAATAAATCAGCAATGGGGAGGTTTCCTAGAAAGTCTAATCTATTAACATAACATAATTTTGAATAACATATTTTGAATAACAAAATACAACTTTATATAGATAAATCGGCAATTTTGGAGCCAAGAGTATGCTTCTCCCTTTTCATACAACTTTTTATACCTAGCCTACGCCTCAACTGTATTATGGTACTGTGTGGGTCTCAGGGAAATCAAAGATTATTCGGTTATCTTTTGAAGGATTCAATAATTGTTCAGTTTTCTATAGATACCAAACGTTAGGTCAAATTCGGCTGTTGTCTTGATGAAAATTCTCAAAAACTAGTAATTCTAATATAGATCAGAGCAAATCCCATAAAAAGACACATTTTTATTCTAGCCCTAATCGTGTCGATATTCCATCCGTATATTATCACGTAGGAGGAACGAGTAGGACCAGATGTGTCGGTACAATAAATTTATGACTTACTTATTAAGGGTGCTAATGTACTATGAAATGAATGAAATCTATTTATCTCACTTTTTCTATTCAGGGCATGTTTGCAGCTTTCCGCAATATGTCTTTGGGCGTAACATATTAGCTAAAAGCAAAAAAGATCACGTTCATCTGATAACTATTTTCTCAACAGTAAGTTATGAATGCAAAAGTTAAAGGATCACAATTGAAGCAAATAAAAAAACTATCGCTATCGGAAAACTTGTGATGGCCAGTTGCACTCGAAATATCCGGAAGGAAACAAAAGCGACATGGAACCAGATAGCAGTAGTCAATTTCAGTTTTACAGTAACAAACATAACCAATATTAAATTTAAAGGACAATTACTCGCTGTACAGTTATAAACTTATACCTCAACATCCGAAGTGAAAACAATTGTCAAAAGGCGTTCATTTTTCTATGACATTTATGGTGTGCAAAAGTTATAACGAAATGAATTTAAACATGAATGATTTTGTTGAGGCTATTGCCTGTATTTTTGTATATTGAAATAACTTACCTAAAAATGTAACCCTGAAAACATCGAATGGGTCCATCTTGGCAACAATTTTTCACCTGAATTAATATAAAAATGCGCCCGACTTCTTCAAATGTTTTATCTAATGCACGGTATAAATACGGTCTCCTGCTCAAACCCCCGAGTATTACCCTAACTGCCTTTCTAAATTAAAATTTGTAGAATAGTGAGACATCGTGTTACCTAGAAAGCCTTAACAATAAAGTGTTGTAGATCTTTAGATTGTAGATGATGCCCTGGAGCATATGATGTGCTTTTAAAAAAACATAAATATAAGGGGCGATGGTGGTTATAGAAAGGAACCTGCTATCTGTACATGGTCCTTTACAGGGTGGCTCATGAATGTTGGGGTCTGTGGATTCTAGTATAGTTGGTCTGAAGATTCTAGTGGGGTCTGCGGAATATAGTATAGGGGGTCTGAGGAATATAGTATATGGGGTCTGCGGATTCTAGTATAGTGGGTCTGAAGATTCTAGTGGGGTCTGCGGAATATAGTATAGGGGGTCTGAGGAATATAGTATATGGGGTCAGCGGATTCTAGTATAGTGGGTCTGAAGATTCTAGTGGGGTCTGCGGATTCTAGTTTAGGGGTCTGAGTAATTTAGTATAGAGGGTCTGCAGATTCTAGTTGGGTCTGCGGATTCTAGCATGGGGGGTCTGCAGATTCTAGTTGGGTCTGCGGAATATAGTATAGGGGGTCTGCGGATTCTAGTTGGGGTCTGTGGATTCTAGTAGGACTCTGCGGAATATAGTATATGGGGTCTGTGGATTCTTGTTGGGTCTGTGGAATATATTATATGGGGTCTGTGGATTCTAATTGAGTCTGCGGAATATAGTATAGGGGGTCTGCAGATTCTAGTTGAGATCTTCAATCTTCGATCTTCTGATTATATACTACCGTAAATTGGAGATTTTATACAAATTACAAAAACGCACTGCAAGGAGAAAATTATATGAAAAACATAATTCATCTTCGGCACCATTATTCAAAATTTTAAATTGGTTGACACTGTATCAACGTATTAGATATAATCATGGCATAATGACATTCAAAATATTTCAAACTGGAAACCCTGAATATTTATACAATAAATTTACGGACAGATCAAAATTAACAGAAACCAGTATGACACTGAGATCAGAAACACTCCTAACTTCATCGAAATGTAATAAAACTGCTATGATGAGAACATGTCAATATACAGCTTCTTTACTTTGGAATTCATTACCACAAACTGTAAAACATAATCCTTCTTTAAGTTTGTTCTTACTGACATTTATAACCATTCCATTTATTTTTCTCACCATTTCATTTCACTTAAAAAACTTATACAATCAATTATAATCTAAGAAACACGGTGTTTACATTTTGTTATATTTTTCACCACATCCATGATGCATTGTAAATGTATATATGTTCTATGAAACTTTCTGTGTTTTTATTATATACTTAGTATTCAATTCGAAGTTTTGTGGGAAAACATACTGGTTACATTTTCTGTAATCTCGTCTATAATTTGTAGTTGAGTGGGACCTATTGAAAATTAGACTTCTGCGTAAATGGGTGGCCAAAATAAAGTTATTATTATTATTATTATTAAATCCCAGTGATAGTCCCCATACAAACTCACGAACTTTGTAATGCATGTGAACAAAATAAACCCAAACAATTGAATTCCCATATTAAAGAAAATGAAATAAAGAAATGTATCTATGAAATGAAATCTGGTAAAGCGCCAGGAATTCGTAGCATAACATCAGAATTGATCAAAGAATCCAGTCAGTTAACAATACCGGTATTGTGCGACCTCTTTAACTGCAGTATTCGTGATAATGGTATATTCCCCCACAGAGTGGTGTAAAGCCTTAATTTGCCCCGTGCATAAAAAGGGAGCTCGGGAAACTGTTTCAAATTATAGCAGTATCTCGGTTATATCTGTTATAAGTAAAATATTCACTAAAGTGTTAAATAACAGACTAACTATAGGGTGTGATCAAATCAACTACTACACGAATCCCAAACGGGTTTTAGGCGTTTCTATTCAACTGCGGATGACATATTTGCATTACAAGGTATTTTTAGCATGTATCTATTGAAAAAGGATGGCGGATTATAATGTCATTTAGAACATCAAAATACGTGAAATACATCGAAATACAATATAAATATATATATGTTTATAACTACATGTATCAGATTACCTTGTTTTTATATAATTACTATATTACTTTATCTATTCAATTTTTTATTGATATATTTTCTATATATTCATGATTTATCGTATTCAATCAAAATATCCTTTTTATATATAAAACTAAATTGAGTAATTATAAAACATACTTTACATAGTTTGGTAATGACTTGCAAAATTGTTCTTTTTATGCAAAGTAATATTCTGCATATTATTCCTTCACCTTTGCTGTCTTTTGTTTGTATGCTTTTCATGTTTCCTTAAATATTATCTATTAATTTGTAAAATTGTGTTTTGGGCTATTCGTCTTGTATACATAAAATAAAGCTTATTATTATTATTATTTTGATTTTAATTATATAATAACTGTGAGATACATGTATTAGTTTTCATATATTGAACCAACAGTTGGTGAGATGATTCTATAATCCTCTTTTTCTTGTTAAATGTATAGCGAATCGGATCATTGGAATTGAAAGATTTGAGAAGAAATAACTGATTTGTTGTTTGAAACAAAGCTACTTTTGGAATTAGAGAAGTTAGTGATGAGATGAAACCATCCACTGAATAATCAGTTTTGATTTTTTTTTGTTCGTGCTTTACAATTAAACTCATCTTATTTTTAAATAGGGTTTTTAATGAGTTATATATTGAATTTAAAAAGCCTAATGTAAGAAGTAATAGTCTTTTCGTTATTTTTCAATCTAATATTCAGTTCAGATTAAGTTCAGTGTTTTCGGACTACTCTAGAAGAGAGACTTTTTGATTTTATGACCTATAAAGTTATATATATATACTTCATTCATAGAGGTAAATTTACTTGATATTTTCTGTTGATATACGTAAATTTCTGCTGATATACATACTTTTCTGTTGATTTACGGACTTTGTTCTTACATTAACAGAATGTTAGTTCCGCAATAAGGAAATATGTTATTTTACGTAAATTAATCTTGGTCGTATGTCATTTAAGAACAATTACGTTATTTGTCAGTAAATATACGTAAATTCTGTGTTATTATCATTTTTTTCCAAACTTGTCTGTAGATAAGCGATGTCATGCGTGGTCATACTGTTTTTTTGACAGGAACTTTATGTTTCCTTACGGAAAATTATAACAGGATTGCTGTTAATTTACGGAAACCGTAATTTTGCGTTATGATAGTTTCGACCTGTTAATCAAAGTAGGTATGACGTCATCGGTAAAGACACGAGGTCAGTTTATCGTCACGCCGCCATTTTATCCCACATCAAAACAAGGCTACGTCGAAGGGATTTTTGTGAATTTCTTAAATTAAATTTAATATGGTGAGATGCTTGGAGAACTTGGAATGCTGACCCGATATTCCACCACTCATTCCTGTTCTATTATCACCCTTTGTCCAAAACTGCAAAATGTTTTACTGAATTTTAAGCGTGTGGGGACAACGACAAAATGACTTAAATTTATCCTACATGATGAACTAGACTAGGCTTAGCTTACTTGGTCTTGGGTAGAGTGGAAATGATCACTTAATACAAATTCACAGGTGAGTGTATTTTAATTATTGCCTAAATAAATTTGTAATGTTACCATTTTATCACTTTATACATGTGTGGTATTTGTGGTCTGAAACTTAGATCAGTCTTG